AGATACAAAAATGTATAACTCAGAGTATTTTCAGAGTAGTTTTCTCTGGTCTTCCCAAAAAACTCATGGCAATAACCAAAGGTGTCTGATTTAAACTGTACATAATATAGATTTAATTTAAGCATATTGTTTATAACCAAAAATTAGAGTGTAAGTTCGGTTTTGGGAAGCATAAGAAAGGATATTCGGAATATATTTACATAACACCAGATCTAATTCTTCACTCCAACTAATTTAATCGTTGTGTCTTCCCTAGCTTCAGCCTTAAAGTAAATAAGAGCATAATTGATACATAGCAGCGGTGGCGAACCTTTTTATAAGTACGTTATTATTATTATTTTATAGATATTATATTATTTTATTATACATATATAATATAAAAAATAAAATTTTTGTTGTTGTAGTTCACTACTATTCGAAACACCGCTTTATAGATATTATATGTATATAAATATTTATATTATTATTGCCTTACTTTATGTTGTTGTACTTCTGTCATGATACTTTTGAGTTTGATATAAATAAAATTTGTTTCAAGAAGCGAAACACAAGTTTAGTTCCTTTGGAAAAGACGTGCCATCGCTATGGTCTGGTATCAATAAATTATTTTGGAAAACAACGCTTATCACATTTCGAACCATAAAGGCATACGTACAAATGAGTGTAGCATGCGTGCCACAGAAAGTTTCATACGGGCTATGTTACCTATGGTACACGTGTCATAGGTTCGCTATCGCCGATCTATTGAACTATAGAAATAAAAATCTATTTAACTCACTTACTTATTTAAAAGGTTATAACGACATTTGAACAAAAAACAATTTTAGGTATTGTTGTTGATAGAAAACATAGTTGAAAGAAAAGTATTTTAGAGCGAACTAAGAAAACCAACATTGCTGGGGTTGCTTTTATGTCAGAAAAGTATTGGTGAAAGGTGGGGCTTACAACCATCTATTACTCAGGGGCAATACACGGCTGTCATTAGACCAATAATTTGGAATGGCATCACCATATGCATACTTTATTTATAATGTATATATATATTTAATAAATATAATTTATAGTTATCGCATAACTTATTTAATAATATTAATTTCAATTGCATTATGAAAATTAACTTTTTTTACATTCTGAGAAATCTAAAAAATAATAATCAAACTTGAAATTTGAATAGAGAGAATTCCGAGCAGTTTTGACTCGTTTGTTAAAAACACGAGAAGTCATTGTTTTCAATCTGACAGAGTTAAAGTTCTAAGTCTGGCATTTATTGTCAAAGAAATTTATATGGACCTATAAAACCAATTAGTTCACGAATCACAAAAGTTGGTCTTATAGTGAACACAGCAAAGACAAACGGAATGTAGATAAACAATTCTACCTGCAAATTCAACCTCGACGATACAGAAATCGATAACGTCAACAGCTTCACATACTTAGGCAGTATAATATCGCCGGACGGTGGCGCGGCAGTCGAAATCCAGAGCCGAATTAACAAGGCATGCTCCGCCTTTTCGTTACTGAATAAAGTTTACACCTCTTTAATACTTTCCCAGCACACCAAGCTGCGGTTATTTAACAGTAATGTTAAGAGCATTCTGCTCTACGGCTGCGAAACCTGGCTTACCACTAACAATCTGATCCATAAACTGCAAACCTTTATAAACAAATGCCTTAGGAGAATTCTGAAAATTTGGTGGCCCAGCACCATTAGAAATTCCGAACTATGGTCAAGATGCCGCCAACTTCCTATAGCAAACGAAATCAATTAGTGTAAATGGCAATGGATCGGAGAAGGCACCAAATGAAATCTGCAAACAAGTATTAACATAGAATCCTCAAGGAAGCAGAAGACCTGGTAGGCCCAAGCAAACGTGGAAGCGAACACTAGAGAAAGAAATCCAAGCAAGTGGCAAAACCTTTGGAGAAATTAAAACTCTGGCAAAAAATCGTGACAGTTGAAAAAAGTTCGTTATGGCCCAATGTTCCCCTGGGAACGTACTGGATTGATTGATTGATAAAACCAATAAATATATTGAAAGACCACTCGTGATAGCTATTTGGCAATACTCAGTCAAAAAGAAATTATTTAATAAGGAATAAGATTATGGTTTATAATTTACTAACCTTCCATTAGTAAAATACTCTTTCTTCAACTCAAGTGGATTTAAAAATCAAATTTAATGAACTGCTTTTTAGGTTTCCTTGAGTGTCTCACATTAAATTTTAATAACTTAAAAATACTGTAGATATCATTTCATATGAGTGTTTTTGTAAAATACTCAACCTCAACCACATAATATTGTGTCTTAATGAGAAGTCAAATTAAAACGTTTAGAGATTGATTTCAGTCCAAAACATTTCCGCAATTTTATGGCTTTGACAAAATCAAACAAAAGTCA